GCCGGGGCGGGGGACCCCCGTCGTACATTCCCAGCCCAGCCGCAGACTGGGGGGGCCAGAAGCAGATGAGCAGTAACGGCCCCAGGGAGAAATCAGCCCCGGAGTTTAAGAGGCCGAGGGCTGTCCCAAGCGACACGCAGCAGCCAAAATTTCAGAGCGGCGAGGAACCGTTTTTTTAAGAGGTGCTTCCCCCTCCCATTCAAAAATGGGCTTTCACCAAGATTTCTCAATGGGGCTTTGGCTAAAAGCCTTTGGGGAGGAAGGAGGGCCCCAAAGTAAACCTGACACTAACAATTATCCAGCTTTTCTCCCAGACTGCGTCTCTTCAGCGGCCTGGACGCAGCTCAGATGGGCACCTTTGCATACCCTGGGGGGGAAGCAGGCATGTGCCTCAGTTTCCCCAATCCCTAAAACCAACCACACTAGTGACTTCTCCCGCGGAGCATCCCAAAACACTCCGGTACAAACCACCGCACCCGCCAATCTGCCGTGTCCGGGCCCGGCCCCGCTGCTCGGGCTCCGGCGCCGGCCTGCGGCCTCCCCGTCAATGGAAGCGCTCGGTATTTTTAGCTCCTCACTTACCCTCGCATTAAAATTCATCAGCTAAATTTATGAGGCAAATTTGAAATCAAAGGCCCGAGATTGTGAGGAAAACAGTTCTCCCATCAGTCTCCGGTCAAAACGGACAAGTTTGCTGCATTTTACTGGAAAGCATGAATTATTTAGAGCAAGCGTGCGGGGAGGCTGGAGGGGGCAGGGAAGGGAGAAGATGAAGCCTCCATTATTCCTCTATGATTTAATGAAGACTTCCCAATAAAATAAAGGAAGATTTAAAAAACAAAAAACAAAAAGCACCCAAGTGCCTCCCAGAGACACTCTGGTGCAGAATCGATTTCTCTCGTGGCCATTTCAGCTTTTTATTGCTGAAGAAGCAAAGTGAAGGCAGAGAAAGTTTTTAAGGGCAATAAAACCAGAGGGCCTTTAGGAAGCCCCGGCTCCCTGGCGTAGTGGCTGCCTGGCTCCCACCTCCTCACACGGCTCCCTCCTCCTGCACGGCCTCATCCACCGCGAGGTTTTGCTCGGGGAGGTCCGTGCCGCCCCAGGGACCGGGATGGAGAAGCATGAAAGGTTGCTCAAGGTCACTGAAGAGCCGAGGCAGGCCAGGGCCAGGAGGAGCGGGTGAATCGGAAGGGCAGACCTGCGATGCCCTTGAGGTGCTCATCTCTGCGTTTGCGCTTTTGAACGCCCCAAAAGGGACAAGCCCAAAAGGGGTCGGGGTCCCAACACAAGGACAAAGACGCTCTTTGCTGGGCCAAAAGGACAAGCAGTGAAAATGCCCTGAGTGCCCTGTCCTCCCTCCTGAAGCAGCTCTGGACAGGGCAGGGGCCCCGGCTGCCCCAGGCTGCGCTCTGGGAACGGCTGCAGCATCCCCCCACCGGCGCCAGGACCGGAGGGAGGTTTCCCTGCTTTCAGCTTCCTGAACGAAAGTGGCAGAAAGACAGAGAGAGCGTGCCCCCGCCGAGCCCTGTGATCCATCACCACGCGGCGATAAAGCACTCGCCCGACATCCTTCCTTGTAAAACCTCCCTCCCTCTCCTCCCCTCGGTAGCCATCCCCTGGGGCTGGGAATGCTTACGCGAATTAGCCCCACTTGGAAAGACGCTTTGCTGCTGAGTGGCTTTTTATCATCAGCATGACACTTCTCCCCAGCTCCACGGGATAAATCACTCCCAGCAGATCCCCTGGCCGCAGTGCAACCCTTCACCTGCCCTTGCTTCCAGCCGAGGGGCTCCGAGCACATGGAGACTGCTGGATGCAGGCCATGCTCAGCACCCGCCTGCCAGCGCCTTCTCAGGATGCTCAGAGCCTGCAGCTAGCATTGATCGTGGACACCGGTGGGTGAAATCCCAGTTCTGACCCAATGGTTAAGAAAACCAGGCTGCACTGGGCAGCCTTGCGCAAGTCTAACAGGGAGGGGAATGTCACACCAGCTTAAACTGGTGCGAAGGCTGCCCTGAGCATACAGGGAGCTCTAGAGGCCCTTCGCCCCCTGAAAACGCAGCATGAGCCCCTCTGTTTAGCCCAGAGAGATGCTGGTAGAGGGATGGTTGCAAAGAGTGCCTGATCCCATCCTTCAGTATCCCCAGGTGCCTCTTGGCCATTGCTGCCCATGGCACTCACAAGGCACCGTCGCGGCCCCCCGCTCACCGGGACTGCAGGTGCTCCAGCTGCACCTGGAAGTTCTCGCTCTGCTCCGTCTGCTCGTCCAGCGACCGCTGCAGCTTCCGCGTCTGGTTGTGGGCCTCGTCCAGCTGTGGGACGGAGGAGAACGGGGCTGTCTTTGGCCAAGGAGAGAGAGCAGAGCTCCCCAAAGCCTGCTCTTCCTTCGGCCCCTTCCCCAAGAGCAACCTGCCCCCCATCTCTGCGATGGGACAAGCTGTCCCCAACTCTCCACTACCAATCTGAGCTGGCCGAGACTTGAGTCTACAACCCGGGTAAGATAAACTCTTGGCACATCTCCCAGGCTGCATTTTAATACTCTTCTCCTGGTAGATCTTGGCACCTCCTTCGCTGGGGCATAGTCAAGAGTTCAACTCAGCCTGCTCCAGGTTGGGATCTTACCACTGAGAGCGCTGTGGTGGTGGCTCAAAGATAAGGGGATTTTCTGTTGTTAATGTAAAGAGGGAGGGGGTTTGAGCACTGCTAACCCCAGGGCTCTGTTGCTTGCCAGTCAGGCTCACCTCCCTGGTCCCCAAGGCGCCCGTCACTCCCTCTGAACACCGCGGGGGTTTTTTAACGCCCAGCTTTCTGAGAAAGACTGTCTCTCCTCACCCACACCAACAGCTCTGGACATGCTCGGGGACTCACCTCATCCTCAGCTTGGGCCAGCTCCTTCTTCAGCTCCTCCACTCTCAGGCGCAGTTTCCTCACCTCACCTTCATGCTGCTCCACACGGCGGTTGGCGTGGGCCAGCTCAGCCATCTTCTCCTGGTACTGCTTCTTCAGCTTCGTGTGGACGTGCTTCAGGTCAGCCAGCTCCTGCGGCGGGCATGGCAGGGCCAGGGCTGAGCGGGCGAAAGCACCCCCCAGCCAGCGCGTCCTCTGCCGCGGGATGCCCCAGCAACCCCTTTCCCCCTGCCAAATAACTCCCTCCATGACGGAGGAGCTGTGATGGAGCCTACAAACAGGCTGATGTCAACCAGAACAGGGTCACTGTCACCCTCCGTGTGAAGGGAATGAGCAGAGTCTGGGATCAAGGGTGTCCTCGGGGACCAGACCCACCGTTAGAGTGACGTGGCACACAGGGACCCCATTACCCAGGGCTCTCCAGGGCAGGGGGTGGCATGAGGCTGGGGGTAGCCCAGGCCTGGGCTGCCCATCCCACCTTGTTCTTCTCGAAGAGCTCGGCCTGGATCGTTTTGAGGTCGGTGTCCAGGGCGCTGGCTGTCTGGCGCCGCTTCCGAGCCAGCACCTCCTCCAGGTCCTCGATCTGGGCCCGCAGCTTCTTGTTCTCCCGCTCCAGGTTGAGCTTCTCGGTCTCCAGGCGCTCCCGCTTGCCCCACTCGGCCGCGTTCTCCGCCTGCAGCCGCTCCATCTGGGCAGGGGAACGCCTCGCAGGCTCAGGCCCCTGGCCCCGGCTGCCCTGGGTGTCCCCTGGTGTAACGGCGGGCGCTCCCCTCTGCTGCCATGCTCTCTTTGCTCTCTGCACTGGCCACTGCCTTCCTCCCTGCTGCGGTCATGGCTGTGCCAACCACCCCTTGAAACAGCTCCTTGAGGCCCTTCCTGTCCTTATTCCAGCTCAGCTAGCTGATGCCATCCCCCCGGCAAGGGCTGAGGCCCACCGTCCCTGTCGATGCAGCCCCACAGCCCACCCTCACCTCTGTGCGCAGCTCAGCCAGCTTCTTGTCCATGCTGGAGCGAGCACCCAACTCATCCTCCAGGTCCTCTGAGATGCGCCCCAGCTCGTCCTGGTGGATCTCCTTCAGGATGTTCAGCTGCGGGGGGACACAGAGCCGGAGGGAAGCAGTGAGCACCCACATCCAAGGAGATTCGAACCCAGGTCCCACTTCAACAGCCAGTCCCCACCTGGGACCCCTCGGCCACTCCAGAACTGCCACCTGTAGTTCTGGGGCCAGACATCTCCTAACCTCTGGGGAGGATGTATGGACTAATTAGAGCTGGATCAATGGTGCTAGCTAAGATACTTAATTAATGAGCGCCCCAGGAGCGGGCAGCTTGCCTGGAGCAGGAGTACCCCTTGTGGAGTTGAGGCCAAGGGCCAGGGCCACCTCCCTACAGCATCCCCGGCCGCAGCGGTGCCAGACTCCTCTGCTCACCTGCTTCATCACCTCCTGCTTGTTCTTGTTCAGCTCCTCATACTTGATTTTCCACTGGCTGAGCTCGCCCTCCAGCTTCTCAATGCTCTTGCTGAGCGCCAGCTTGTCCCTGCAGAGAGGCAGCCCCACATCAGGGCTTGCAGGACCCCCTGTCCCAGCCTGTCCCCGCAGGGAGGGTCTCTGCTGGGCTCCTGAGCTGACCTTGCCTACGTTGCCAAGACCCCTTGGGCTGCGTTGGGCTCGCACCCCATGAGGCTAAATCCCCGCGACCCAGGGCACTCACTCCCGCTCCTTGAGCAGCACTTTCTGGGACTCGTCCAGCCTCAGCTTCAGGGCGGTCACTTTGGTGGCGTCCTCCTCAATAACGCTCATGTCCTCCCAGAGCAGGCGGTTCCTCTCCTGGCGGGTGAAGGAGGTTCGCACACTCACAGTGCTCCGCTGCTCCCAGCACTCGGACCCGTCCTGTTTGCTCTTCAGGATGTTTTCCATCAGCTCAAACTCCTGCAGTGACACGGGGTGGCCGAGCAGGAGGAAGGTCGCACAAAAAGAGATGAGCGCCCGCAGCACCCAGTCACTGCCCATCCCCATCCTCGGGGTCCCCAGGGCCCTCTGGCCTAATCTCCCAGCACCCCACACCACCCAGGGGCCCACCGCCCCAGTCGTTTGGCCAGGGCGCAACGGCAGGCAACGCTGCTGCCGCCCCACACTGATCGAGAGCAGTTTGCGCTCCCCATTTCGGCACCCCGTATCCCAACCAGCTTGCACCCTCGCCCGTCTTTCTGGACTTCGCCCCGAGCAGAGCGATAACAGCTTCCCTCCATCCTGTACCACCAGCAGACACAAGGGAGCGTTACTGGGCCAAGCCACTCTGTGGCTGACGTCTAGAGGACCCACCACCCCGGCTGAGGGACCCGTTCCTCTTGGCAGTCTCCCCATACAGGACAACCACATTTTCTGCCGTCAGCCTCAGCATCCTGCTTTGATCACATGCTGCGTTAAATTAGAGATGGGATAATATTGATTTATTAATCCAATCTCAGTGCGACCACCGCATAGGTTCATCTTTCATTAGGCTCAGTGAGCGTGTGGCAAATTAGCTCGGTGTATAAAGCTCACTCAGTATTTGCTTGCTTCTGCTTTTTACATAAAATCCATAAAAAGCATGCCAACTCCACGGCGGGGGTGTTGTGCACACAACTCTGCCTCCAGATCTCTTGTCTAAGCACTGCTCATTCCTGGGGCCAAGTTAGGGAGAAACGGCCTCTCTGCTAATTGCACCAGGAGAAGACACAGCCGATGATGTCCCCTTGGCTTCAGCTGGCGAGATCTATCTCTGTGGCGGGCCCTGCCCTGGGAGCGGGGAAGTGGGGAACGGCAAAGCCTTTCTTCCTCATCCAGTTTCTGCTGTAACCGAGAAGACGCAGACAGCTATCATTTGCTTCAAGATCAAAGCTCCTCCAGAGCAGCCAAGAGTAATTTCTTTAGTTCAACTGGCTGAAAACTAGCTGGGCTTGAAAATGGGAGGTTCTCAGGCTGCAAAGCCTTGACAGTCTGCAATGAGATTTTCTGTCGCTGCAGCCCATCGTCTGGAGAAGCTGCGGGCCCACAGAGGAGGTATTTTTCCCCTGGCCTTGGAAGAAAACCTAAGACAAAAGCACAGCAGGAAGCAGCTACACTGGGGCTACACTGGGGTTGAAGACACTATTGGACCACAGAGCACCCGACTGCATTTACTCCATGGGCTCGCATCTGACACTGCCACAAGGACTTGCCAGCGAGGGCTAGGCCTCCTTGTCCTTGTCCTTCACGGACGTGGGGCATCCCACATTGTGTTGAGCAAACGGCACAAAGAAGCAGCAGACTCTGCATCCTCACAAGGGAGAAATTGGGTCCTCAGGTTTTTTTTAGCGATGAGATGTCAAGTCCTCAGACTCCGAGAGGGGAGCTTGCGACTGGTGGGTGTGGTTTCCTTTGACCAACTGGGCTGTGCAGCAGCATGTGAGGAGTTTGGGAGGTCTCAGCCCTGTCGGTCACATGCATGGAGGCAGCTCAGATCCTTTTCGTGCAGCACTGGTGCGGTTGCACAAGAAACAGGAGGGGGTCAGGGAGGCACAAGTGGAGACAGATGTTTTTGGGCAAAAACTGCACCGATCCCAGTGACTGAGGAACTCCCTGAGACTCCTGCTAGGGAGGCTGCGAGATTGTGCAGGGCAAGAAAAGAAAAGCAGCAGAAAAACTGCATGGGGACACAGCCGGGTCTGGGCAGTGTGGGAAGGCAGCGCCGGCAACGCTGGGCCAGGGCACCCAGCAGCGCCCGGCCTTGCGCCGGCCTGTGCTGTGCTGGACGCAACACGCACCTCGCTCCTCTCCGGCTGGGCAGGAGGAGACGAAACGGCCGGTCCTCCTAGGCGATGCGGGAGCCTCTGTATGCTTTTGCTACTGTTTGCAGCAAACGCAGCGGTCTGGAGTGTTAGAGCAAGACAGTGTTTACTTTTCCTGGTTAAAAATGTGCAGACTAATTCTTTTGGGAGCTTACAGCAGAAATCCCATGTTTTGGGTATGAACTATTGCATTCAGTGATGTCTGCTTACAGTCACCATTTTCACCTCAATCTACTTCAGGACACAGGGCAATTCTCTGGCAAGAAATGATTGCCTGAGTCTTGCTATAGTATTTACTTTGATTACCCTACTACAATCATCCACGCCTATTTATCAGTTTATTCTTGGATTTTGCTCTTTGCAACCATGCAATCAGTTATGAAATGGCAGCTGATGCTGTGATTTCTGTTCCTGTGGACTCTAGGACTGCTACATCTTGATTTAACTGACTGTAGAAGAGAGCTGACTATCCAAGGACCTGCAATTATTCTTGGGGTGGCTCTGATTTCTCCTCCTTCTCCTTCATGAGTTACACTCCTCCTGCATAGGTCTCTGCCAAAAATCCGCACCAACTCCCCGGTCGGTGCCTGTGCTGCTCCTGGGGGATGGTATCTGCACTCCCCTAGGCACGGTCCCCTGTGTTCAGATGCTGAATTCCGTTTAATGCTTCCAAATGGGAAGCCCCAAGGAAGGGACCTTGCCTGGTATCCAGGAGATCTTACTGCATCCAGGTTACAGGTGTCCTGGGCTGGCTGTGCTGCTCTGAGAGGGCTTTGATCTGCCAATCTACTCCAACAGTGGCCTGGCCCCACCATGCTGCTCCGAGGAGGGTCTGACCCCACCACGCTGCTCCAAGAGGGGCTTGGCCCCACCACGCTGCTCCGAGAGGGGTCCAACTCTGCCACGCTGCTTCGAGGAGGGTCTGACCCCACCACGCTGCTCCAAGAGGGGCTTGGCCCCACCACGCTGCTCCGAGAGGGGTCCAACTCTGCCACGCTGCTTCGAGGAGGGTCTGACCCCACCACGCTGCTCCAAGAGGGGCTTGGCCCCACCACGCTGCGCCGAGAGGGGCCCAACTCTGCCACGCTGCTTCGAGGAGGGCCTGGCCCCACCACGCTGCTCCGAGAGGGGTCCAACTCTGCCACGCTGCTTCGAGGAGGGTCTGACCCCACCACGCTGCTCCAAGAGGGGCTTGGCCCCACCACGCTGCGCCGAGAGGGGCCCAACTCTGCCACGCTGCTTCGAGGAGGGCCTGGCCCCACCACGCTGCTCCGAGAGGGGTCCAACTCTGCCACGCTGCTTCGAGGAGGGTCTGACCCCACCACGCTGCTCCAAGAGGGGCTTGGCCCCACCACGCTGCGCCGAGAGGGGCCCAACTCTGCCACGCTGCTTCGAGGAGGGCCTGGCCCCACCACGCTGCTCCGAGAGGGGTCCAACTCTGCCACGCTGCTTCGAGGAGGGTCTGACCCCACCACGCTGCTCCAAGAGGGGCTTGGCCCCACCACGCTGCGCCGAGAGGGGCCCAACTCTGCCACGCTGCTTCGAGGAGGGCCTGGCCCCACCACGCTGCTCCGAGAGGGGTCCAACTCTGCCACGCTGCTTCGAGGAGGGTCTGACCCCACCACGCTGCTCCAAGAGGGGCTTGGCCCCACCACGCTGCGCCGAGAGGGGCCCAACTCTGCCACGCTGCTTCGAGGAGGGCCTGGCCCCACCACGCTGCTCCGAGAGGGGTCCAACTCTGCCACGCTGCTTCGAGGAGGGTCTGACCCCACCACGCTGCTCCAAGAGGGGCTTGGCCCCACCACGCTGCGCCGAGAGGGGCCCAACTCTGCCACGCTGCTTCGAGGAGGGCCTGGCCCCACCACGCTGCTCCGAGAGGGGTCCAACTCTGCCACGCTGCTTCGAGGAGGGTCTGACCCCACCACGCTGCTCCAAGAGGGGCTTGGCCCCACCACGCTGCGCCGAGAGGGGCCCAACTCTGCCACGCTGCTTCGAGGAGGGCCTGGCCCCACCACGCTGCTCCGAGAGGGGTCCAACTCTGCCACGCTGCTTCGAGGAGGGTCTGACCCCACCACGCTGCTCCAAGAGGGGCTTGGCCCCACCACGCTGCGCCGAGAGGGGCCCAACTCTGCCACGCTGCTTCGAGGAGGGCCTGGCCCCACCACGCTGCTCCGAGAGGGGTCCAACTCTGCCACGCTGCTTCGAGGAGGGTCTGACCCCACCACGCTGCTCCAAGAGGGGCTTGGCCCCACCACGCTGCGCCGAGAGGGGCCCAACTCTGCCACGCTGCTTCGAGGAGGGCCTGGCCCCACCACGCTGCTCCGAGAGGGGTCCAACTCTGCCACGCTGCTTCGAGGAGGGTCTGACCCCACCACGCTGCTCCAAGAGGGGCTTGGCCCCACCACGCTGCGCCGAGAGGGGCCCAACTCTGCCACGCTGCTTCGAGGAGGGCCTGGCCCCACCACGCTGCTCCGAGAGGGGTCCAACTCTGCCACGCTGCTTCGAGGAGGGTCTGACCCCACCACGCTGCTCCAAGAGGGGCTTGGCCCCACCACGCTGCGCCGAGAGGGGCCCAACTCTGCCACGCTGCTTCGAGGAGGGCCTGGCCCCACCACGCTGCTCCGAGAGGGGTCCAACTCTGCCACGCTGCTTCGAGGAGGGTCTGACCCCACCACGCTGCTCCAAGAGGGGCTTGGCCCCACCACGCTGCGCCGAGAGGGGCCCAACTCTGCCACGCTGCTTCGAGGAGGGCCTGGCCCCACCACGCTGCTCCGAGAGGGGTCCAACTCTGCCACGCTGCTTCGAGGAGGGTCTGACCCCACCACGCTGCTCCAAGAGGGGCTTGGCCCCACCACGCTGCGCCGAGAGGGGCCCAACTCTGCCACGCTGCTTCGAGGAGGGCCTGGCCCCACCACGCTGCTCCGAGAGGGGTCCAACTCTGCCACGCTGCTTCGAGGAGGGTCTGACCCCACCACGCTGCTCCAAGAGGGGCTTGGCCCCACCACGCTGCGCCGAGAGGGGCCCAACTCTGCCACGCTGCTTCGAGGAGGGCCTGGCCCCACCACGCTGCTCCGAGAGGGGTCCAACTCTGCCACGCTGCTTCGAGGAGGGTCTGACCCCACCACGCTGCTCCAAGAGGGGCTTGGCCCCACCACGCTGCGCCGAGAGGGGCCCAACTCTGCCACGCTGCTTCGAGGAGGGCCTGGCCCCACCACGCTGCTCCGAGAGGGGTCCAACTCTGCCACGCTGCTTCGAGGAGGGTCTGACCCCACCACGCTGCTCCAAGAGGGGCTTGGCCCCACCACGCTGCGCCGAGAGGGGCCCAACTCTGCCACGCTGCTTCGAGGAGGGCCTGGCCCCACCACGCTGCTCCGAGAGGGGTCCAACTCTGCCACGCTGCTTCGAGGAGGGTCTGACCCCACCACGCTGCTCCAAGAGGGGCTTGGCCCCACCACGCTGCGCCGAGAGGGGCCCAACTCTGCCACGCTGCTTCGAGGAGGGCCTGGCCCCACCACGCTGCTCCGAGAGGGGTCCAACTCTGCCACGCTGCTTCGAGGAGGGTCTGACCCCACCACGCTGCTCCAAGAGGGGCTTGGCCCCACCACGCTGCGCCGAGAGGGGCCCAACTCTGCCACGCTGCTTCGAGGAGGGCCTGGCCCCACCACGCTGCTCCGAGAGGGGTCCAACTCTGCCACGCTGCTTCGAGGAGGGTCTGACCCCACCACGCTGCTCCAAGAGGGGCTTGGCCCCACCACGCTGCGCCGAGAGGGGCCCAACTCTGCCACGCTGCTTCGAGGAGGGCCTGGCCCCACCACGCTGCTCCGAGAGGGGTCCAACTCTGCCACGCTGCTTCGAGGAGGGTCTGACCCCACCACGCTGCTCCAAGAGGGGCTTGGCCCCACCACGCTGCGCCGAGAGGGGCCCAACTCTGCCACGCTGCTCAGCCCTCGCGCGATTTCAGGCCCCCTGAGCAGGAGAGAAACGCACGCAGAATAACAAGTATGACTTGGGACCACATGCTTTGCAGAGCGGACACAGCTAACTTGCTCGAGAGTCGCGGTCATCATCCAAAGTCACAAACCCTTCACCGCCAGCAAAGCAGGGTCAGCAGCCCAGACAGGGACCGAGAGCCGGAGCCAGGGACAGGAAGGTGAAGAGGAGCCCGGCAGCATCGAGCTCTGCAAGCAGGAGCAGCGAACACCGGAGGGAGTTTTCCTTCGGCACCTCTGGCTCAGGGCACCCAATCTCCTTCTCGGGATACAAAAGAGGATTTGGGAGTTGCACATCTGCCATACCCAAAGTGCAATCTTGGCAGGAGAGCTTGTCCATGCTCCAGCTTGCCTCCCAGGCCAGCTGAGCGCAGACTCGATGCTGGGCCGGAAAGGGGATGCGGACAGCCCCAGAGGTGCCCTGCAGCTGCCGCCGGGGCAGATTCCCTTGCTCCGTGGACAAAGGAGCCCGCACCAGCTCGGGAACCGGCCACGCACCTCCACGCGTCCCCCAGACGCACGCGCAAGCTGCGATTCCCAGAATCACCGATTCCGGTGTATTTAGGCAGGTTTTCATCACAGCACAGCCCTGACCAGGAGCCGAACCAGACCCAGTCCCAGAGCACAAGACAGCAAAAACATATCTGATTGCAGTCACGCATTTTGTGCTGGGAAATAATGCATTTCTTAGATCTTATTCTCGAAAATAGTTAAGAGCATTTTTTGCTGAAATGCTCCAGAACATCCAGACAAATGGCACAGAAAACTCTAGCCTAGAGGCTCTAAGTTGGGGAAAGTTACAGAGCAACCGAAAACAGGGTCCTACAACGGCCTACGCCAGGGAATTGCAGAGATGAGCTTTGACATTTACTTGTCTGCTCTCTCGGCAGACAGTTTCTCTGGATAGCAAAGCCAGGTCGCCAGCAGGCAGACCCCAAGCTGCTGTGCAGTACCCTTGGGAAGCACGCACGGAGCATGGGACCCACACCATGCAATACCCACAGAGAGCAAGTATAGGGCACGGGATGCTGTGCAACATCAACATGGAACATGCATAGTCCGTGGGATGCTGTGCAACATCCGGGAGGTGCAAGCACAGAGCACGGGACACTGTGCAAAACCTGTGGGGAGCATGGGATGCCACGCAACACCCACAGACAACATGTACAGCGTAAAGGACCCTGTGCGATATCCACGGGGAGCAGGGGCAGTGCATGGGACGCTGTGCAAATCCTGTGGGGAGGAGGCACAGAGCACAGGGCCCAGGCAGCCCCCACGGAGAACATGTGCAAAACGCGGGGCCCCACGCAGCACCGACAGGGCGCACGTGTGACCCTGGGGA